ACTCAGTAAGTTGAGACAGGAGGATTTAGAGTTTGAGGCCGGCTATGGTGAGACATTGTCTCAAAACAAAATCTTAAAAAAACAATGAAGTTGGTAAAAATAAAAGCAAACACTTTAATACTTTAATTTTTACTTAGCGTTTTTCAAATTCTATAAGTCATCATGTGTTTACTTTTGTTTTTAATGAAATGCACTATTTATTGTTTTTAATGAAATGCACTATTTATAAATCCCTGAATAAAGATTTTTCCAGACATTTTGGACAAGTATTGCCTGCCTAAATTCTGCCTGCCAAGTCTTGTGGGTTGGAAGAAAGCCACAGTTTACAACTGTATTACAATAGGCTAATGCCCTGAGAGGATCTCTGATGGTCAGTGTAAATCAAATCACTCAGAAGATGAGTATACCTTTAATCACAGAAGCTGAGAAATACACCGTTAATTTCATAATCAATTAATAAATACAGAAAATGCTAATGCTGTCGGATGTGATAGTAGAGGCCTATAATCACAGCACTGGGAAAGCTGAAGTAGGAGGATGAGAATTGGAGACCAGCCTGGGCTATAGAGCATGCAACACTCTGTCTCAAAAAAAAAGAAAGAAAAAAATGTGAGTGTATTGAATTCTGTGCTTTATTTCAAACTTCCCAAAAGGCTCCAAGAATCACTGTCGAGCTGGGCACCGGTGGCTCACACCTGTAGTCCTAGCTACTTGGGAGGCTGAGGTAGGGAGGATTGCAATTCAAGACCAGCCCAGACAAACAGTCCTTGGGACCCCCATCTCCAAAACAACTAGAGCAAAATGGACTGAATGGACTGGAGGTGTGGCTCAGTAGAATGCCTGCTTTGCAAGTGCAAAGCCCTGAGTACAAACCCCAATCCCACCAGGGAAAAAAAAAAAAACAACGTCCAACATCAGCTGGCTCATGTTCGTGCCATTAAATACTTTAAGGTGCATCTACTATGTGCCAGAGACCATCCTCCTCCAGAGAAGATGCACATTATACAGACAGTGGCAGTCTAGAACTATAGTCTGAACTCATGCCTTCTGGAAACTCAGGTATTCAAATTGGAAGCTAGAATTCCAATATGTAACCTCTCCTCTTTGTAGATCTACAATCTACAAAGAAACAAATACGTTAACATGAAAATACTAGCAAGGGCACCCAGCACGTATTGGAGTACAAAATAAGTCTTAGATTACGGAGGTGTATTCTGTCCTCCGGAGTTTCACACTGTGAAAATCTGGCACTTCCCTTACATGACTCCTTTTTCTCAAAACTCAAGTATTTAAAAAGTAAAGTTTTATTGCTTACAGAAGCCATGTCTCCTACTTACTCTTTGACAGATAGGTAGAAAATACTAACAGCGAAGACGTGTGGTTTGATTTGTAGATAGGCTAACAACAGACTACTTTAGATGATTCACTGAGTCTCTCAAAAAGTTTTCAACCAAATCATCCTGAGTATATAACTCATCTGACTGTCAAAAAGCCACTTAAAATGAGAATCAGGCAACATGCTATGGTCCTAAAGCCAGTATTTTTACTTGGAACAGCCAAAAAAAAAAGATAAAACAGTTCCATGGAAGACTACAGTCCTACAGGAAATATGCCCAATTCCATAATTTATCCTAAAGTGACTCCATCCCACTGTACATCATCCCAATCAATTATTCAGCAATTTCCCATGTGCAATCTATTGTCCACGAGATCTTCTGTCACCAACTTCAAACAAGCCATTCTTTGAATTTCCTCAGCTCACACCATCCTCCTTTTCCTTTTATAAAAACAGGAGTTTATAAAATCTTAATAAAATGATTTTTTTTTTAAAGGGGAAAAAGTATAGCCTCTGCGCCCAAGCCCTTTTCCTTTACATTTAAGGACTTGGCATTTATCTCATCCACCTACCTTTATGTTCCTGGATAATCCAGGGTTCCTCCACCTTACTAACAGTTCAAAATGCTATCTAATAAATGACAGAGTCAGTATGTGACCGCGCTGTCCCAACTTCTCTATTTAATCTTTTAAGCCTTCCAGCTTTATCCTGTCATCAAATATCAGCTCTCACAAACTCACAAACCACTGTACAAGTTCAACAAAAACTCTATCGCGCGCGTCCTCGTTACGAACACGCTCCAACCCAATGAAAAAACTTCCTTAATATCGGCTCTTCCTTTATGAGTGTATTCCAGATTCCTAACACAGTCTCCAAGTCCCATACTCCAAACTCTGCTGAACGCCATCCCAGCCGGGAATTACACCCTTTCCAGCCTAATTCCTGTAAAACCTCAAAACTCCACCCCCTCATCACGCCCCTCCCGGGCCTCAGTCACCAACCCCAACACCCCGCCCCTTGCCCGACACGCCCTCCAGATCCCTTTGGGGTCTTTTCGACTGGACTGGACAGACCCCGCTCGAGCTATCCTGTCTCTCCCGACCACCACTCCAGCTCCGCCCCCAACCCCTCACCGAGTAGCAGCAGCTTCACTTCTTTGGCCGCTTTCTCTCCGTCCTCCCGCAAGTTGCGGTCGATCATTTTGCTCCGCTCCACCGCCGCCTTGTCTTCGGCGCTCAACGTGCAGCCCATGGCGGCGGCGGGAGAGGGAACCGGGCCCGGGCTCACTCACACACCGTGGGAACTGCTGCTCGGCTGGCTGAGACAGCTTCTACTGCGGGGCGGTGGCCTTCTCCGTCAGCTCCCCTAAGCGCACAGAGGAACCGGATATCCGGCCTTTTACGACACTTCCGGTGGCGCCCTGCGGCCGTTACTACTAGAAGCACTGTCGGTCTGGGGGAGAGGGCGAGACCGAAAGCGGAAGTTCCAGGGAGGGGCGTTGTTTCATCGGAGCTGTAGGGTTCTGTCAAGATTGCTGCGTACCGCCCAACTTTAACCCTCTTTTACCTTTCGGCTACTTGATTTAGATAAGTGTGGAAAAACCGGGCCTTCAAGCTTCCTGAGGTCACACGGCGGGTTTGGGGAAACGGGGGCGGGATTCTCAATTTAGAGTCCACAGCCCTCACGGGGAATTTCTACTATGGAATTCTTGCTAGCCACTGGAACCTAGGGCACCTGCCCACCTGTAGGACACTGCCGAAGTTGTCTCAGTTTTATCTATGGGATGGAAACAAACTATCCAGCCTGGGCTCCATCCACGCCTCACATCTGAGATCGGATTATGCCTAGGACTAGGACTCTGGCCCACCACTTCCTGTTCTTTAAATATATCCTGGTTCTTGTCTGAATTTCTGTGGGCTGTAGATTTGGCCAGTTTCTTGAAATGGCTAACAAATACTGTAACCTGAAAGGTAAGTGTACACAGTTCATACCGTCCATTGCTCCAGTGTAAGCCAAGTTGTCCTGCACGAGGAGCTTAGGATTTCTACCAAGATAAATCAGCCTCAGCTCCACACCCAGAAACAAACCACTGCCTACTCCGACTTTTCTACTAAAATGCCCTGTCGTGATAACCACACAGAAAGGGAAGTTAATAAAAAAAAAATTACTTCTCAGCTCCAGTATCACCTGAAAATTAAATCTGTAAAACCCCATCCTGATACCTTCTTTCATTGATAACCCTAGGTTACTGTGAAAGTGAGCCTAAATTACCCTTACCATAGCCCCATGTTTACTCTCATCATACATTCTAAGGAGGGGGGAGAACTTTTTTTGCAACCCCTAAAACCGCTCCCTGTAATTAAAAATTACTTTTATTTCCCAGATATCTAAAATTAGAATTTAAGTTCCATCATCAGCAAGGTCTTTATAGTGATGATTCATTAATTAGAAGTATTTAATTAGAAGTTTATAACCAGCTTAAACATAACTCATGCACCTTAACTCATATTAATGCCAGTTCTTTCAAGTTGGAAAAATCTCCCGCTCTTTCCCAAATGACTCTTAGAATGAAAGGGGTTAGTTTTCTATTATCAATACATCTGGGGGAAAGGGAAAGAAAAAAAGTATTTATTAAGGACCTATTTGCCAGATGAGGCTAGGTGCTTCCATGTCTCATCTCTTAATCCTCACAACAACCCTGTGAGGTAGGTAATATTGATCCCCATTTTTACAGATGAGGAAATAGGCTCAGAGAAATTAAGTAGCTTTCCAGAGTCCACACAGAAAGTAATTAGACCTATCTGGCTCCAAATTCACCCATTTTCTAACATGTCCCTAAAGATACTGCTTGGGGACACCTGACAATAGAAGGTCTAAGGTATCTAGGATGGGAGTGACCCCAATACCACCAGGATGCAGGAAAAAGTAACTGATAGACTGGTTGCCTTATTCTGTTGATTCTTCAGTGTGTTAAGGAGGTCAGGTTTTGGTTCAGGAACAGCTTTCAGAGCTAAGTATTATTACATGTTGGACTTTACCAAGCCATCCTGGTGACTAGAAAATTCCTGGAAGGTGGTCATAGCAGAAATTTGTTGGGAAACTTCTCAACATAATAAAAGAGAAAGTTTTATTTCCTTCATGATCCATTCCTACAAGGAAAAATTAATGGCAAATGAATCCATGTATGCCAAACTAGAAAATGCCAGTGAGATCGCAGTGTCAGGTAATTTCAGCCTGAATTAGAGACATCCTTGCACTTAAAGCTTCCTTCCTTGATGTACATGAAGGAAGGATTGGAGGGCAAAAGACAAGGTAAATTAACAAAATGGCTGCCAAGCACTGTTTAACACCCTCTCCTTTTCTCCCTCCACCCCCATACATATACACACCTTTCCTATTTCCATTGGAAACACACTGCCATCTCCAGGCAATTTCTTAGGCCTACTAAGAAAGAATGAGATTCTTAGGTATGAGTTTATCTTAAAAGGGAGGAGGGAGTGGAGAAAACATGTTTTTGAATCACAAAGGACTCTCCTTGATGTTTATGCTTTCTAAGGGGTTTCCTCAATGTAATAGGTACTCAGGTAGAATAACAATCTAGTGATGGACAAACAGAAAACTGAAATTTTCCTAGTTCAAAGTGGGGGAGAGCTATGTTTGTTCAGTTTTATTTAAGTTTTTTCTTTACTCAAGTGTCATTTACAACTCCCACACTTTCTACAATCTGCAGGAATCTCTAGGTAACACTGTCATGAACCCTCAGAACTTGGAACCATAGATAGATTCGCCAATATATTTTTCAAGTATATTCTGTAGTACTTTATCAGATCTAAATGCTCTATCAAAATACAATGTATCTGATCAAATTAGACTATGAACTTGAAAGCAGTGACCACACATCCTCTGTGTGGGGCCCAGGGAATAGTGGGTATTCAACTATTTATGCACTGAATTGAACTGAAGGAGTCAATGTTGATATCAATATAACTTTATCATAAAAATTATTTATTAGCTGTTCAAAGGGGAAACTATCCCACTCCCCCCAACCCATTTTCCTGCTTTGATGCTTAGTCTATATTTTTTCAAATACAGACTTACCACCCTCTGGCTCTACCTTAACCCTTTAATGTTACCTGAGTCAATTGTGGGAAGCGGGATGGACAGGTGGTCCCAGATGGGCCTATCCAGTTTTCAATTATTCCCTCGCCACTGGAAATACCACCACCAATACCAATCAACACAGTTCCTATAGTCTCAGTTAGTAAATAGCTGAGCCCAATTCCTGTGCCCTCTCCAACCCAGGGCTGCTGGTAGGAGAAGATTTAAGTCTTTGTCACTGAAGCTAATTTTGAGAGCGATGAATGGGAATGGGGAGGTATTTAATGGACTATGGAAACCCCACCCTTCCCATGCCCGACCTTAGTCTCTTGTACCCGATTGTCCAGGGGGCTGGAGGTGGGTCACTGCCATGAGGAGAGAGATCAGGGAGGCCAGTCCTGGAAAGAAAAGATTCACAGTATTATTGATCAGGGTGATTTACCCAGTCTCTTTGTATCCAGCTACCTTACCACTTTCAGTGTTAACCCCCAGTCTCATCTGTCAACCCCCAGTCTCATCTGTTGACCTCCAATGATTCTAGTTATTCATCCTAAAAGGGAGAAAAAGCCATCCTCTCTTATACTTGTCTCTGCTGAGATCAAGCCCTACACTTGATCTCCTACATGTAAGAGAGACAGAAAAATAGAAGGGCTTTCCTTTCCTGAAAAGTAGGAGAGAGCGAGCTGCAGTCAGCTTTCCTGTCTTCTGTCCCATGTACCCTACTTGCTATTTCTGGCCAGAGAATACTCAACTTTCCCTCTCACTTTAGGAAATCTCAGGTATAAAACTGGAAAAAAAGATCTGTTAACTTATATGGAAGCACTTGGCTGGAATTTTAAACTTTTTTTTTTAAACCTAGTAAGGAAATGGGAAGATGCTGGTCATTTTCTTACCTTGTTCGGGTGCAAGTGCTGCCCAGGATAATTACATGAAAAAACAAAATATCCTCAGTAGTCCCCAGTATAACTCCAAACCTGGCCTGCTGCCCTAATCCTCCAACTCCTACCCTTAGACAGTTTTCCCGTTTCCTGGGCATGGAAATATCACTGGTTGAGAGGTTCCACCTCACCTTTGTGACCCTTTTCTCTTGTCACCGTCTCAGCATACCCAGGTTCCCTCCCCCAGTAGTCAAAGATCACAGCCCAGTTCAAGGCTTTTTGCCACATGTCCATCCTGTTGGCTCTGGTCCTCACCCAGTAGACACTAAGCAAAAGCTGTGTTCAGAGATCCAGCCCCAGCCCCAACCCAGCCAGCTGGAAAATGGTGGTTCCACAAGGCAGTCCTTGCAATCATAACCGGCCCCCAGCCCTATTTCCTTCCCAGTGTCTAGCATTTCATCATGACTCCAGCCCAGGTGAGGGGGCAGGACGGAGGTAGCTGTCCGACATAATGATGTCACTGGTGAGTTGCTGCTCCAGGAACTCAGAGGTCTCCTCAGCTATCTGGCCTGGGATTCGAAAATCAACAGCAGGAGGCTCCTGCTTGGGACTGGGAAGGGGCCGGGAAACCCAGTTCTCCGTGGGACAGCCAGTCCCCTGAAGGAATTGCAGGAAGTTCTCCTCAATGGAGCCCTCCCTACTGGGTAGCCTCAGCTCCTCCTCTGGAGCTGGCTTGAAGAAGCAGACAAACTGCTTGCTAAGCTCCCCCCGGATCTGTCGGTTGAGACATCCATAGAAGAAAGGGTTGGAAGTGAAGCAAAAGTAGCCAATCCAGGTTACCACACTCTCCACCTGTCCCGTTGAGATGGGCTGAGCACTCAGGGCAACATAGAGATGGAAAGAGAAGTAGGGCAACCAACAGAGCAGGAACTGTCCCCCCACAGCCAAGAGGACCACTGCTGCCTTCCCTCCCCCGAACGTCCGATGTGGGGTGGTCTGGGGAGCCCCTGAACTGGTGACCATAGTGGAGCGGCTACTGAGAGACTCAGAGCGTTGTCGGGCGGTCTCCATCCACGTGGGCAGTGGACCGTGTTGCATTGCAGCCACACGAGCCACTCGGAACATGCTGCAGTAGACCACAAGGATGAGGACCAAGGGCAACAAGAAGTAAAGAACAGCAAAGACCACCACAAAGAGCTGGCAGTAGGCACTGTGGCTCCATTGGAGTGAACAGCCTGGGAGGACACTGGGAGCTCCTTCCTCCCAAGAGACTCTTCCCAACACTGGCACAGAAGCCATGGCCAGGGCCTTCACCCACACACCGACCAGCACAGAGGCCACCAGCCCCAGTGTCATGCGCACCTCATAGCGCATGGGGTGGACCACATAATAGTAGCGCTCAACATTGATGGCCGACACCGAGAGGATGGCTAGGCTGACAAAGCATACACTCAGGAACAAGTAGAGACGGCAGGCCACCTCCCCAAAGAGGGCATGGTCAAAAAGGGCAGAACTGGACAGCATGGCCAGGGGCATGAGGGTCAGGGCAGCCAGCAGGTCCACTAGGCACAGGTGGAAGACGAAGACAAATTTTCGGAGGGCAGGTGTCTTGGCTATCACAGCCATCACAGCAGCGTTGCCAGCCACAGCAGTCAAGTCCAGCAGAAGCATGAAGAAGAGGGCCACAGATTCTGAAGCTATGTCCCGCAGTCCCACCTCTGGGACCCCGCTGGCAGTAGAGGGACCTGGAGTTTGAAGGACCCTCCCTGAAGTGGAAGAGTTCCCTGATGACTGGGGGATGGGTGAGGACTCCATGGGGCCGAAAGAGGACACCCAGAGCACCTTCTGTCACAGCCCCATCCCCCATCCTAGTCCACAACCCTGGGATGGCAAGCCCAGGCCGAGGCTTCCCAATTTGATTGGGGGGCCTGCTATGGGATCCTCTTGGGCAGACTTCAAGGATGGGCTCCTCTGTGAACAGAGCACCAGGCCAGGCAGCTGTGGGCTCAGAAGCTCATATTCCCTTTCTGGTAAGAGGTAGCTCCAGGGTTGGCCCTGGTGACTGGAAAGAAGCAGGAGACATGTGAGGGATGGAACCTTGCCCACTCAACAGTGCTCCACCTTCTGAGTGGCCTCTGGAACCTCCTTTTTAACTTTCCTTTCTCCATTCTCCATACCCTTCCTTCCTTTCAAGTGTCGTTATCCAGGGATTCTCTAGCCTCCGTCTCCCTTTGCCAGGGTCCTGCTGAGTTCTAGGACAGCATCTCAGTTTGAAGGTTGCTTATGTGAATTTTCTGATTTCCAGTCTCCGAATGGGAAGTAGAAGAAGCATAAGATTTAGCTTCCAGTTCCAGGTCTGGGCATTACTATCTCTGTGATTCTTCTGGACTCCAGTTTCCTCCTAAAGGCATCTGTAAAATGAAGGGAACAGTACCCTTTTCACAACTGTGTTTGCAAGGTTGATGTGATTGGTTCATAGCAGTACTAATCACACCGTAACACTTTCCACATGCAGAACCCTGTTCTAAACACTAAGATGTACATTAACTCATCTTAATCCTTACACAACCCTATGAAAGAGAGAGAGGGAGAGAGAGAGAGATAGGTGTTCTTATCTCCATTTTTTCAGGGATAAACCTGAAGGCTACAGAGGCTAAGGAACTGACCCAAGAGCATACATCTAGCAAGTAGCAAGTTCCAGATAACTACCCAGGTACTGTGGCCCCAGGGCCAGTTCTCCTGCTTACCATACTATGCTATGCATTAAGGTGCCTTCCACATTGGCTAGAATATAGTAGGCCTCCAGGAAGTCATTGTTGAATTTGAACAGTCCTTAAAAATATCTCTCACTTCTCTAGTGCTGTCATCTGAAAAAGGGAACTGTCTCTTCTGACATCACCACTTCCAAGACAGGGCTGTCACTTTGGGAAAGCAGTGAAATCATAATGGCCAACTGGCTTATAATCTCCCATGCTCTCAAGGCCAGAAGAGGGTAAGTCACTTATTCTAGCTTCTCAAAGCTGCTGTGCCCCTGCTAGTGGGAGAGGAGCTGCCCCTAACCTCCTACTCCCCAGTTCCCCATATCTTTGGTCACTGGAACTGACTCTCTGAAGGTCCCTGGCCCAAAGTGCTCTTGGATCTGGACTGTTCCCCCTAGTCACAGAACAAGGAGTGCCTAGGTGCCCATGTAAGAGGGGCAAAGGTGTGAGGGGGGGTAAGAGGACTGTGATCATGGAAATGGGTGAGCATAGAACAAGAGGACTGGAACAAATCAGCCTCTCATTTCTCCTAATCAAATGCCAGATCCTGTTTTATGTGTTTCATTGCCCATGTTGAGTTTGCATTTGACTGAAAAAGATTGTCCAATGTAATTAAAATTTTTTCATTTACACATACCATTCTTGCAGTACAGATTCTCCCAATACAGTGTACTGAGCTATGCAACTTAGAGGCAAACTCAGACATGCCAAGTCTGATGGCCTTTCTATTCACAAGTTAAAAGTTTTCTGAGCCACAGTTTCTTCATCTATGAAATGATGAACTCCTACACATGGTAATATTTGATTACTCTGTGAGTTCTGAGCTATGAAGGATCTGATAGTTGATCAGTTTTAAAACCTGCCATTTCTATGACTTCAGTGAAGAGGACCATGTGTCCTACCAGGGCCCACTCTCCTCAGTTGTCATCTTAGAGTCATCATGGGGTTTTGGCATTACCATAAACCTTGTACTAATTTAGCTTTTAACATGCTATGCTCACAATAGATACACAATGCAATTTTGTGAATGGAGTCAGACTCAAATTGATTAGTTGAATCCCTGCCCCCTCATACAAACTTCAGAAATACTCAGTCAGTCATCTGGGTGCCAGTCAGGGGACTCTCTTCTGGAAAGGATAACCCAGGCTCCTGGATTTAGATGCTTCCCTAACTTTGGACAACTGCCTAGGGATGTGCCTCTCTCCAGGGATAGTAGAAAGCTCATTTCTACTATTGAGATGGCCACATAGACTCAGTCTGTAGATAAGATGAAGAGAGGGCACAAAGTAGAAACGTCAGCTTCTCATAAAACAGCCTATCAGGAAAAAGGCCTGATGCTAGAGGACACATCTTTGCCCTTTATTCTCCATGCCAGGATTTGTCCATTCTTTCTACCTGTGAGTGGGGCCCAGAAGATGCAGCGGAGTCCATGGTAGTTAAAGGAGGAAAGGCCTACAATGTGTGGATGATCCATTCTTGCAAGGCCTAGCCAGGGTCCCAGATTGAAGGAAGCAGACATGGTTCCCACATGGACATGGAGGGGTGCTATACAGCCACAATGGAGCCCTAGGCAAGAAGGCATTGGGCATTTCTCTTTCTCATAGCCCAGGGGAGGGTTGTGGTGTAATGGTCTTATGGGGAAACCCAAAGAGCCTAGCTCATATCACTTCACTCCTAGCTCATATCATCACGCCTTCTATCCCCACAGATGCTCTTGTCTTCCCTCTGATTCCTTCCTACACCACCCCCTCACCTCCACGACCTCTTAGTACCTAGAGTGCTTTGCCACCATAGGGACTGACATTTGGTCTCTAGCAGGGGCATGGCCAAGTTACAAATATCCTTGTCTCAGGATGCAAGATGTACACAAGTGCCCAGCCCAAGGCCACAGAGGTGTTGTTGGGATTCACATGCACCTGTTTTTCATACAGAGCTTCCATCCTAATGGATCAGAACCAGGCCTTCCTTTAGGCAAGAGTATGACCCTCCTCAGCCAGGGAGGATTTCCAGGGAGCTTCAACACCTCTCCCTAGAAGAGTTGCCCACGCCCAGGACACAGTTGCCTATCAGCTTGACGCTGAAGGACCCATTCCTAGGACATGGGGGACCCATCTCCACGACGTGGAGAAAGACAGATAGAGAATACTGTTTGTTGCAGGATGAGGCTACTCCTGCCGGTAGGAGATGATCAACCCCCAATCTCTATAGACTTCCAAGATGCCCACACCCCACTATTGCCTTTGGGATACCTGGGAGCCCATCCCCTAACAAAACTGTCCACCATAGGACATGGGGACTGGTTCTTGGAATGCTACCCTTCTGAAGGGGACAGCAGCATTCACCATTAGGCCCTCGGTCTGGTCCCCATTCCTGGCCTAGTCGGCAACTCCTACCTTTGCTGAGCAGCTCCCGGCTCCCATGTGATAGCTTCTCTCAGCTGATGCTTCTCCAAGGCTGCTGAAGCCTGAACCACTGCAGTGAGCAGTGAGAGGCAACCGGCAGAGCAGGATGCTCTGAGAGCTTCTGGGTCCTAATGGCCTCCTGCTTCCCACCCAGCCCCTTGGAGCCACTTCTGGAACAAATACCTGGGCACCAATGTCCCAGGCAAAGTACTCAGGAGGAAGGACCACTCCTTGTACTTCTCTCAGGTAGCTGGATTGCATCTGAAAAACTTCATGGGGCCAGGTGATGACAGGCAGGGGAGACCTTTCTGATTAGCCTTATGAAGAAAAAGAGCACTTGGGGTCAGAAAATTCAAGTTCAAGGCATGGCTATGGTACTGAACAGCTGTGTGACCTTAGGCAAGTAAGTCATTTCCATTTTTGACCCTGGTTTCTTATCTGTTTAATGGAATTACAGGGCAAATGATCACAAAAGTTGCTATCATTGCAAGGTTCTGTGTGACACTAGGACCAAGGTGCTTTTGCAGCAGGCAGGTCAGTACAGAGTCAGGGCCCCAAGGTTAGGCCAAGGAAGGCTCCAGCAAGGTTTGACTAGTTTAGAAGCTGCCACATTTGTGTAGTGGACAGATGGAGGAGTAGCAGGTTTGAAGGGGAGCTGAAGGCCTTAAATTAACCCTGCACTGGCTTGCAAAAGCGTATTACTGTTATTTCCTTAGATTGTAAGTTTTTTTGGAGTAGGGCTGTGAGTGCTGATGGAGATAGGAGATCTAACATCCCCTGATCTACCCTATGAAGCTCCACAATGCTTTCCTGAAGGCAGAATGGGAGCCAAAATCTCAGGAAGACCCAGGTTGGTCTGGATTTGTTGGGCTGGACAGAGCTGGGGAGCATCACCCATCTATGTAATGGGCTTTTGGAGGTGATATACGGGGTTCCTCCCACTAGCTACAAATACAGTTTCCCAAATAAATGATGGATACCAAGGATAGAATTCCAACATGGCAGTGCTGAAGGGCATTCACCGTCTTCAGGTGAAGAAATCACTAAGTCCCATAGCTCCACATGCAGGGCCATGAGCATAAGCAGTGAATTCAGTCATGGAGCTGCTTCAGAGCCTTGCACTCCAGGACCTCCCTCTCCAGGTACTCCTCCTGTCTCCAAAAAGGAGGAAAGGAATTCTAGAATTGTTTACTAGATACATCCAAAGAGCCATATAAATCAGTCAATTACTCAAGGAACTCAGAGGGGAGGTTGGCTGTCCTGGGCCCCATGTCAACAACAAACAGGCCACTGCCCAGACCACAGCTGATACAGTGACCTCTGCCACCACCAGTCACTATTTACTGAGCTCTTAAGAGTGTTGGGTCCTGAGCAGACAGCAGCTTTAATTCGCACATTAATCTTTGAGGCAGCCATTACTTTCCCTATTTTACAGGTGCAGGGGGTAAGGGTGACTTTACTCAGATCAAGTACAGCCACAGTCAATAACTGAATCAAGGTCTGTCTAAAGGCAAAGCATTTGCTCCTTCCCCCTTGGCCTCATGGCCTCACAGCCTCAGAGTCCTGACCTGATATTCTGAACAGGGTCCCAGACTGAACGTTCTCCTAACCCCAGGGCTTCAGAGCATACACAGGCTCTTTGGAACAGGATTATAGAAAAAGCACTAGACTATGTCTGAAAACCTTGGTTCTGGTTTGGCTCTTCTCTACTAGTTGGGAGTAAGACCTCCATCTGAGTTGACTGTGCATCAATTTTTCTATCCCCGAAATGAACAAAATTCTTCATTTTCCAGTTTATCTAACAGGGATAGGGAGCCTGTAATACAAACTGAGCCTGCTTCTCAGGTGTGGGGGAGCTAGTACAGTTACCATGGTTGGTCAAATAGCTTCTGCAGTGGCCAGCAGCAACGTTGTGAGGCCTCTCCCAGGGAACTATTGGGGAAGGTGGTGCCAAGAAGGTGGTGGGTCCTAGAGCATCCTCCCGAGTGCTAGAAGCCATCTTGGCCTAGTGGGGAGAGAGGGAGAGAGCGAGGTGGGTGGGTGGGTGGGAGGGGAGAGAACTGCCTGGGGGCAGCTGATAATAATAATAATACCAATAACAATAATGGCAGTGATGAGGCTACTCTTTCTTGTGGCCTACTCTGGAGAGGCACTACTTATGCTGTCTCATTAAAATGTCTCGGTGAGGGTTTGAAGTAACTGTTGACATCACTTCTCCCATCAACCCTGCCAATCCCTCCTTTTAGAGCTTAACACAATGCAGGGGGTGTGAAGATCAAGATGAGGAAACTAGATGTGGTCTCCCAAACTACATTAGCAATCCATGGTCCACCGTATACACCATCTCATGTTACAGGATGGGGATCAGGCCCCTCCCAACAGTGGCACCCTTCTGCTCAGTGTCATCCTTGAGTGATCTCTCCATTCTAGACTTACTCCTTAGTAAAGTCCTACTCCACTTTTGCCAACCATGCCTCTTTTTTTTTTTTGGTAGGACTTGGATTTGAACTCAGGTCTTCGCACTTGCAAAGCAGGCGGTCTACAGCTTGAACCACACCTCCAATCCATTTTGCTCAGGTGATTTTGGAGTTGGGGGTCTCACAACAACCCATGCCTCTTGACAGGGTCTCACAACAACCCGTGCCTCTTAACAGGATTCTGTTAACCCCCTCCACACTTTCCTGGCAAGGATGGAAGCTGGATCAAATTTACCTTTCATTCATGCATTACTTCTTCCATATATATTAAATGTTTTCTACATGCTCACAGCCCCTCATCTGCTTAGTGGTACCCACTGTCCTCCTTCCCGCTCTCTGTCTTCTGTCAAAACCTGCTCTCAGGAAAGTGGTTGATAAATCCATTTGCGCTGATAGCAGCTTAATGTGTTCTCTCTCTCAGGAATATTAACAATTTAACAGGAAACAAAGGGAAGAAGTGAAATGCTGGGATTCCAGCATGGATCAGGGGTGTCCCTGAGATCCCACAACACAGCCTGCCCCTTAGTTCAGCAGCCTGCTCTCCAGCCCAGCCTCACCCCCAGGATGCCATCATCATGTCCTCTGCACCCTCTTCCACCCTCATGGACACCCAACCCTCCCCATCCAGACAGCAGGCTCACAGCTGGGGCCTCTCCACTGTGGCTCAGTCTCCAGCTGGCTAGAGCCCCCTGCACCAGCACTAGCTGTGCCTGCTCCTTGGGTCCCCTCCTTCCCTGCCTCTATCTGGGGGCGAGGCTGAGGGGCTGGGAGGGAGGTGCAGGAAAGCAGAGGTGAGAGCCTTTCCATTCCCTTTATTCCCCCACAGTCTGGCCCACACCCCCTGCCAGGAGCCAAGATCCAACACAGTATATTCAGCCTGCAGCTGCCACTGGTCATGTGAGCCCATTGCTAGGTTACAGGGACCCAAAAATAAATCCTTCCCAACCAGATTAGAAACTGGGGGCCTCAGATGAACCAGGCTCAAAAGAGTGGCAGAGCATCCACAGTGCATGTGCAGGGCAGGCCATGCTGCCTGCTTCCTGTCTGTCAGCTGGGCTCAATCCTGGACCCTCAAGGGAAAATTCCAGACAGCTCCCGGTTCCTTACAGCACAATAAATAGGTAAACAAGCTGAGCGACTGTCTTCACTGGTCGTCCAGGACAGCTTGGGCAATACTCTGTCTGCAGTTCCCATCCAATTTCTCATCCTCTGCCTGCTCCTCCATATGCCTCGCCCCACACCCAGGGCCCCCAAAAAGCATCATTAACCCTTTGCGTGGACCTGGGGAGCAACGAGTACCAATTCTCTTTTTCTAGCTGCAGAAAGGGATCTCTAGTTGTGGGCAGAGCACTGAGCAGTCTCACCCAATCTTCTGGGCTAGTTTTAATAACTCCACTTACAGATCCAGAAGCTAGGCTCAGAGAGGTTAAGTGAGTTTCTCAGAGTCACACAGTTGAGTTACTGGGATTCAAACCCTGGATCTACACTCACTTAGTTTGGGAATAGAGCATGGAACAGGAAAGAACGTTTGCTGAAAACCATTCCCCAGGGCCTAATGACTTGGCACTTTACTTGGTTTGAATTGGGGGTATTATTTCCATGTAACACCACCTCTACATCCTCCAAGCCAGGGCACAGCTTATCCGGGTCACATGCCTCCTTGCCCTTGGCTTCATGCTCTGTCCCCTTCTATGGGAAACACAATGCAGGACCTAAGTAAGGTTATTCCTGCTGCTGAAGCAGGGGGAGCAAGCTGACATGGAGTCCAAGTAGTAAAGCTGAAAGACGTGTGGATATTAGACATCGAACCCTTTAGCCTACAGATGAATGGGCCTGGAGGGGATCATAACTTGCTCCTGGCCATACAGCTAGAGAGTAAAGGAGGTGGGACCAGACCCCAAGCCTCCAGGTTCCTACCCTGTTTTTGCCTGACACTAAGGATGCTAAGCTGGAGTCCCTCCCACCACCTGGTAACCTTCCTTAACCCATCTCATTAGCAAATGTCCAGAGCACTCCCACCGTATCACAGTGCTCCTCCTTCATGGTCGTTCTGAGAAGGCCCAGACAACCACTCAACTCCCTGTACAGGTCCAGGCTTCCCCATTCTGCACACCCCAACTGTCTCCTAAAGCCTCAGAGAACCCATTCCCACCTCCTTCCGCACCCCAAACTATAGACTTAATTTCACTCAAGTCAAGAAGTATTTATTAGCTGGTTGTGGTGGTACACAACTATAATCTCAGCTACTCAGGAGGCTGAGGCAAGAGGATCACAGTCCAAAAATAAAGTAAAAGAGGTCTATGGCTCACATGACATCTTGCCTACCTAGTAAGCACAAGACCCTGAATTCAAACCCCAATTCCACCAAAACAAATAAAAGGGCTGGAGGCACAGCTCAAGTGGTAGAGTGCTTGCCTAGCATGTATGAGGCCCTGGGTTCAATCCCCAGGACCTGAAAGAAAGAAAGAAAGAAAGAAACTACTGGGCAGATTCAGAGGAAAAGTGAATCCACTCCCTGAGGGAATTTAGAAAAGTTTCATGAGCCTTAGAGGAGGGTGGGGTTTGATTTTATTTTTTCTAAAAATTTTTAGAAAATTATTACTATTAATATATTTATTTTTACTAATGTATAGTAATTGTACACATTTATGAGGTACAGTATGTCATTTCAATATATGTGTAGTGTGTAATGATCAAATCAGGGTAATTAGCTTATGTGTCACTTCAGACATTTACCATTTCTTTGCATTGGGAACATTCAACCCCTCTCTATTAGCTATTTTGAAAGTTTCAATTAATTGTTGTTAACCACAGTTGTCCCACTTGTGCTATGGGATTAGAAGTCACTCCTGGGGGTTGGATTTCAACTGGGAGCAATGGGAGGAGGCAGAGAAGGAGAGTAGTTTAGGGGGAAAGAGGAAACCTAGCAAATCATGCAGAATGGCAAATTTAAGAAATATCAAGATCCAGGTGTGGTGGTGTATGCCAATAATCCCAGTACTCAGGAGGCTGAGGGAGCATTGAGAATTCGAGGCCAGGCTGAGCTACATAGCAAGACTCTGTTTTAAAAGGAAAAAGAAAAGAAAAAAGGGAGCGAGAGGCAGGAAGGGAGGGGAGAAGGAAAGGAAGAAAGGAAGGTTAGGGCACTGTGAGTGTCCACATCAACTGAAAAATAATCTGCAAACCAGGCGCTGGTGGATCATGCCTGTAAGCCTAGCTACTCAGGAGGCAGAGATCAGGAGGATCGCAATTTGAAGCCAGCCTGGGCAAATAGTTCAGGAGACCCTATGTTGAAAATACCCAACACAAAAACAGGGCTGGTGCAGTAGCTCAGTGGTAGAGCACCTCCCTAGCAAGTGTGAGGCCCTGAGTTCAACAGCACCACCACTCCCCGCCCCCCTGCCAAAAAAAGGAAAAAGAAAAAACTGCATGTAGGGAAGAAGTGAGAATAGAGAGGTAGAGTCCCAGACTGGGAAGTCATCACAGGTGATGTGTGAACAGGGAAACATGTGGCCATTGCCAATATTTTCATGAGTCAGTTGTTAAGTATTTACTGAGCCCACGAGTTCCAGAGTAAGAGCTGAATTAGAGACTGGGAATTTTCCTTGTTCAGGCCAAGAGGGAGGAGCACAAAGCCATATAGGTCATGAATGAACGAGGCCTGTGAATATGTGGCAGAATGAACTCAGAGGAAAGGGCAGGTCAGTGAGGAGGAGATATGGAGATCAGGTGTTACTCAGGTTTCCAGGTGGGGCTCTCAGAGTATTGGCCAGGTCCTCATGTGTGACCTCCATGTCCATTCCTTGGGTAGGAGGGGAAAAAGGGTAGAGTGGCAATTTGGATGCTTGAAAATTCTTCCTATATATTCATAATGTCATTAAGAAGCTGCCCACCCTGATCTGTATGACTATGGCACCTGGGACCACTCAGCTGATCATTCCAGCCAGGGATGCCCAACTCAAGGTCATAACTTTGGCCTGAGAACAAAACGCTGGGCTGGGTTTCCAACCGGGGGTGTGTCTCCCTCTGGGGGCATCTCTGCTCCACATCTCAGAGGCAGTTGGTCTACGGAGCTCACTCAGCCAAGCCAGACCCTGCTGAGTCCCAGGGAAGCCTGTCTCTTCCCCCCCCAGGTTGGAGACTGCTGGGCCCAGTGATACTGGTCATTCTCCTTCCCTTAAAGTCCTTTCCCATCACTTCTGGCCTGCCTAAAAACAGGACCAACCCCTACTCATCTCTCATGCCCATCAGTCAGTCATACTCCCAGACCTAGAATCTTTAAGGGTTCATTAGGAACAGTGAGATGGTTTGTGAGTGGGCCCTTAGAGAGCTGTGACGAGCCCTCACTACCTCCCTGAGGACTCTGTTGGAGGATGGTGTGTGGAAGCTGACTCTCTGATGGCTTAACCTGCAGGAATAAATCTGGAGGGTCTAAATTAGCCTCACACTGGGGCAGAGGTCCCTGGATGGGGAGGAGGACCCAGCTGCTCCATTTCAGGGTTTCCAGACTGCACCGACAGACAAGAGC